CACAAGCAGAGCGGCTGCGAAGAGCCCTCGGCTCGCTGCGCTCTCCCTGCCCTGCTCAGTGTGGGGATGAATGGGGGCTGCCTGAGAATTCATGCTACCAAATATTACTTAAACTTCATGCCCGGCCTCGCTGTTGTTTCAAAATCACATTCATGAATTGGGGGTGGAGGGGGACACCCCTCCAAAAGGCATTTCACTTGGTTAGGGACACCACCTTCCCCCTCTCCTCAACTCCCCCCCCGCCCCTTTCAACACAGATTCATGGAGGAGGCACTCGAAATTTAAATAAAACGAGCCCATTTTGTAGTCTGATATTAGTGGTGACGATGTGCCATAAATGCAGCTCGCTGGCCTTGCAGATGCAGCTCTGATTTCAGGGCAGATGGAGCTAAGAGCTGCTGAGCTCCCCCCACCTCCAGCATTTAGGGAGCTGCTGCCAATTCACCTCCGTGCCCCCAAAAGTGTCTCTACCCCCCTGGGATGGGTGGGTGAGTGCAGGTCCAAGGGGGAGCACCACCCAGCCTGGCATTTGGCACCCTGTAGGAAGTCGGGGTACATGTTAAGAGGGAATTCTTGTCTCCAAAATACAGCCTTCAACCCATAAACAAGGGGGAGCCGTCTAACGTGGGCAGAGTAAATCCACAGTGGAAGAAAATCTGCCTGCTGCAAGTCGTACACTCACACACACAAACACACACACACTCAAGTAAAGGCCCTTTGCTGTGCTTGACTGAAAAAAAATCAAAGCAATACCTGCCAGGACACGCAATCACCGCGAGCTGGCAGTGACAGAGGCAGAGCTGTGCCTGTGCTCCTCACCCTCTCACTCGCCTGCTTCTTTCAATTGCTCAGAAGGCCATGGCCAGCACAACCCTCTGGCTTTTCAGTGTTGTTTTTTTGGTTTGTTTTTGTTCACTTTCCACAACAGTTAACAAAAAAAAAAAAAAAAAAAAAAAAAAAAAAAAAAAAAAAAAAAAAAAAAAAAAAAAAAAAAAAAAAGGCCCCAAAAGCATTCAAGAAAAATATATCAAATATAATTTTGAAGAAGCCAGGCAGAGCACTTTGGTTGCAGAATTAGCTGAGAAAAACCCATCTCTATATCACAAGGCCTCAGGAAAAAAAAACAGATGACATCCCTCCCCTCCTTCCCTAATTTGTCTATAAATATTTGAAACTCCAGTTAGCAATCTGGATTTTAGCCACTCGTACAATTCCCTTATTTCCTGCACATAAATCTGCAGAGATTTTTTTTTTTCTGGAAAATGCTAATTTATAGTTAATCACTTAGGAAAAAAAAACACAAGTAAAACGTAGTTTAGAACTGCTGAAGTTTAGGAATTTTGTAACGTATAAAGCATCTGGTCTAATCCATGGGTTACTTCTGCCTTTTGTAAATGCTTTATTCATATTTATGAAGCCCTAAATAGATTCAAATATGTTTCTAAATAACATTATAAAGCATCTGACAAAATGCAGTGTTATCACAAAATACTCAGCTAGTTTCTGTGAGGAACCTGTATAGACCATGTTAAAATACGGCAAGAATATTAAAACAAGGCACAATCTGCATGAATTTCCTAGTGATGAGAAAGAGTGGGCACACTGACACAGCTGTGGCTGGAAAGTAAAAGGTTACTTGTTTGTTCTGTTGGCCTGCCCCAAATTTCAAAGGTTGGTAAGCATCAGATTAAATACTGATTTTTTTTTTTCTATAGACTTCATTGAATTTTCTCCCCTGGCCTAGGAGTAAATCCATCCCTTCTCCTTTTCTGTCCCAACAACTCCCTTAAGCTGCTCTCTGACTTTGCTGAAGAAACCTCATGGAGGAAAAAACTGATTTTTTTTTTGCTTATTACATCACCAAAACCCCACACTTCCTACAGATAATGCCTAGTTAGATGGCAGAAAGAGCAAACAGAGCATCCCTCTCGCTATGCAGAACCGTCGACGCGTTACATTAGACCCATAATTCAAAACGTCAGCTCCAGGTAAGCCCTGGAGAACCTGCGTGGGCCCTTCAGCTCCCACCCCTGTGCCCCCCACGCCCCTCGCCCTCCTCCAAAGCCAGCCTCCCACTCGGAAACCTCCCGGCAGCCCGAAGACACGGCGGCGAAGGGAGACGGCTGGTGGCGGACGTTCGGGCCATGAAAGGCCTTGGCGCTCCAGCCACTTGTTTCTCTGGTTGAAGCGGAGTTTGCCAAAGTCCTGGGCTCTCAGTTGTTGCTCTGTCTTTTAGCCGCTGCTCGCCAGCTCAGATGCAGCTGTTTAATACCTCCCAGGGGTTTTGTGCAGAAAATAATAGCTTACAAAACCTAGCTTCTCCCAGGTTCTACTATTTCAGCTTTATTTCCGAACAGCTGGTCCGTGTCTTTGTCCATCCCCTTCCCTCCCGGCCGCGGCGAGAATTCGGCAGGAAACCTCTGGCCGCTACCTACGCCCTGAGAGCCACCACCGCTGGTGGTGGGGGTCAAAGAGCAACCCTCGCCCTTGGAAACGGGGACAAAAAACCCCCCAAACTTCGCTCCCCGTCTAGACAGGTCAAGGTGCAAGATGCTCCTCTCCCTGTTGCATCTTCCGGAAAGGGGCGTGAACCGGAGCCAAGTGCACAGCAAACACCCGCGCCGCATCCCTGCCCCTTTAGAAGACTTCTTTTTTTTTCCCTTCTTCTTCTCTTTCTCTCCACCCTCTGCTGATCAAAGTAGGAAGTTTTCATGACAACCATAGTCAAAGGGCCTGCATCGCAAATGAACTCGATTTCGGCTATGTTGATATATCCCGGCTCCATTGTCTCTTTTCAGACACAGTATGAACCCTTCCGGTCTCAATGATTACATTACAGAAGGACTTTCACATGTGGGCTTCATTTGCACAAAGGGGTTGCCTTGCTTCACCACCATCTGGCCACAAATCAGATAAATAAAGGCAGGAGAATTAAAATTAAAGCTTAGAGGGGTTTTTTCCCCTCTCTCTCCCCCTTCGTCTTCTTCTTGCACCAGGCCCATTATGAAATCCCTCCCTCCCCCTGTCACATACGGATGGGGAGTCTACTTTTTATGAAAACTGGGAAGAGCAAAAAAA